AAGTTAAGCTGACAATAGCTTCTACGAATACGAAGGGTATGTTGGTGCGTATATGAAATTGCAACCACTTTAGGTGTTACCATATGGGCAAGCCTTTTGCGAACATTGGATGGTGGGCGTCTGCTCGATGATAAGTATTTCACTTTGCGAAGTCACTTAATGGGTCACAAGAGTGTATATCTACTTGTGCCGTGAACACTAGAGACCATTCCCCTATCTGTACAGATTGAAAGTTTCCCATATGAAATTTTACATTTTCCAGGTACTTACGCTGCTTGTAAATGTATAGGGACTTCAAAGTTGTACACATCTACTTTGCTCAAATACACTGAACTGAATCCAAGCGTTTGCATATTTTTCATCAAACCTTGCATATATTTTGTGAAAATATGGCTGTCCCCTTTCTATTAGTAAGTCGGTTTTGATTGCCCTAGATTTTAGAATCCTTTATGAGCAGGACTGGCTTTCGGGTACTTTTTGCCTATGACTTATAACAGTAACCTACTTTTACATTTTTAGTAATCAGAGTTTCCCTATTTCTTTAAATTCCTTCTACAGAAGGTTGAATTTCCATTTTCGTTAATTTTCGCCAATGAAAGTTCGAATTTCCGTCAAATGGCATCCGTAACTTGCGCAAAAATAGTTTATTTTGATGAAATTTTGTTCTATTTAGTACATTGAAAAAGATCATATCATTTAGTTTAAGATTTTTTATCACGTCCGCCACAATTAAATATTCCTTTGCGCTCAATAGTCAACAATTATATGTTTGACCGCATTAGGCAGTGGGACAGAGGGAATAGACATTTAGAGGGCCCTAGAAGTCAGTTTTGCCCTGGGAGACTTTTTTCATTGGGCGGCCCTACTATGAATCCCTACAGTTTTTTTTTTAAATCCATGGTCTCCTCCAACTGTACGAGTATGGCAATCGCTTTTAAATTCTGGATATTTTCTGGTATTTCCATTCTATATTTTATACATTTTCGTAGCAGCAAAAAATTTACAAACGTAGTCGCACAGGTGCACAGACGTTCCGAAGGGCGCCTGTCTGAGTTACTAACATGCTTGATGCATGCCTGATGCCCTATTCGCTAATGCTCTCCGTTTCTGTCTCTGAAGATGAATCCGCGACGGATCTCAAAATGTCAGGTAAATAAGAGTATTGTCCCAGCGATCGAGTCGTCTTCTCCTCAATACTTGATGCTGTTTGACAGCGACGGGGAAATCACAGGATCTTCTAAACTACTTCGGCCATCCACCACTATTTTCTCCCAGGCGTATGTTCTGATACTGAGTCGCCCAAAAATATCTACCTATTGGACATATAACATACGTACTGATATCTGTGCCAGGCATATTCGGAGCAACGTACATCCTCGGTCTCACTTTGGTATATACTCTTTATTATTTAAAACAGTCAATGAAAATGGTGGTGCCTGCTTCCATGTCGGCCGTGCAAACCCTACTTTTGCCAGCAGATGCACAAAGACGTGGCCGACGTAGAAAGCCAGCTGGAAGATATGAATGTCCGTCTACGACCTCCATGACCATCTCTTAGGGAAGGAGGCAACTTCCTTGCCGAGCAGTTACTTGCTCTCAATAGCAATATGCGATAGGCGCAGGTAACGCTGATTGAGGTTGTATGTACATTGAAGAAGAACACCACCGTCGCCAATTGCAGGCTTTACCCTATTTATTCGCTGCTGTGCACAGTCAAATCTTATGACGGATTCATTCTTCGACTAGGTAGATTTAAAGATAAGTTGTCTTCCATTGTCTTCTCCATTGGCTTCAATCTTCAGAGTAAGGTCCAATTTCTGTTAAGTCACCTTAACAGAGTCCATTGCGTAGGGTACCCGTTTTATAAATTCCAGCATTGATGCAGTACGGCGAAAGGCTATTAACTGGTTCCATGAATCGAAGGACCGGTATAAAGGACGATGAAAAAGCCGGCACAACATCTGTCGGACACAACATTTTTATTTGAAGTACTTTCCACATGCATCCAGATTCCTGTCCTCACCAATGACTTTACCTGTCCAAAACCATCCCCACCCAAAGAAATTGTCAGTGAAGTTATAATATTACCTCTCATTCAAAGCATGGTATTTACATTCTATAGTTTTTTGTTACTGAAATAACTGTTAACTACTATGCATCATTAACTAATTCTGTGGACATCGCATTGCGTACATCTTACCAGACTTTTCTTCCTTTGCCAGAACTTTCAATGGCCATCGCAAGTGCCCCTCTTCTTAAATTCGGAAGCTGTATACATTTATCTGATTGATAACTGCACATTTGCTCACTTCCTCCCCAAAACAGTAACTTGCAGAAACTCGGCAAACACTCGTCTCTGAAATTGAGGTTCGCCTCCTACATTTAACGCGGTACAGTAGGTGCTACGTGGGCTACTCGCTTATGCACCTACATGGACTGCTTGTTGCTGCACCTTAGATTTTTAAATAATTGCAATTTACAGACAATGCCAAAAAATATATGTACAATCGGGATTAAGCTAGCAATAAAAAATGCTCCTTGAAGGAAAGTATTATTACTATTGTTTTCAGTAATTAGAGGTATTCGTGAAGATAAACTGTAGCCCGTCGAATGGTTGGAGTTCGGAACGAAGATTGAGTAGCACAAGTGCACTGTGAGTTTTCAGTTATCCTTCCCTTTCATAGGATCGGGAACCTGCACCTGCATGCTATGAGAGGTACGACGTGATAGGCGGAAGGGTACTACGATAACCGACCACTACTAGAGTATACTCGCGACTATTAAACTGAGACCAGAAATGATGAAAACGACGGAGGAGTAAGAACCCTTCTCACGCAATCTTCACGAATGGCATGACCAAATGAGGTGGTGTTGAATGCAACACCGTAGCCCCGCCAGTTAGCCACGTCACGTCATGCCATCGCCAGGTCTTGAAACGGTAGCAGGGCAAGGCAAAATGTGGTGAGTGCTAGCAACAATTGTTTGGCGGCAAATGGGTGTCGGATTCGACGTAGGTAATGATGGAATGGAAAATCAAGCACTACAGCATCAGTATCAACTGTATAAAGGGCGCTATATAGTCTCATATACGCGACGTCAATGAGACGAAGTAATAATGGCCAAGTTCTTGGGGGAATTGACGAGCGAAATCTCTTAGCTAGTGCCGTATATCATCACCTGATTTAAGAAGATGAATGAAAGTATCTACCCACTATATCAGGCTGGGGCTCAGAATTGTGTTAATCATCATCGGCCCAGCGACCTAACCTGAATCTGCTGTAAGATAATGGAAACTATACGTAGAAAGACGACAAGAAAAAATTATAGAGGAGCATCTCTTACTCTTAGGGGTGCAGCATGGCTTGAGAGAGAGCCACTCCTGTTTCAATAGTTAATTGCTCTCGATCGAACAGCGTACCCACGCGCTGGACGAAGATGGACGTCATTTACCTTGATTTCAGGAAGGCTTTTGACAGTGTTCTACAGATAGGGTCAACCTATTAATAATATGAAATCGGAATAAGAGAAAAAGGCTGACATGGATCACAACCTTTTTCTTAGAGAGATCGCAGGTAGTGTGCATTGTTGTCTCGATTTCAAACCGCCCTCTCTGCTGAATGATGTCCCTAAAAGTTCTGCCCTAGGGCCATTACTTTTTCTGGTTTACATCAGTGAATGCGAAGGCGACCTGGGTTACAACGTCGTCATGCTTGCTCAAAATGTCAAACTGTGCAAAACAGTTGGATCTGACGCCG